GCTCTGAAGATGTCCAAGGCAAAGGGTTGTTTGGTGGAAGAAGCAATGTGTCACGAGTCAGTATATTCGGATGCCCAATAGGAAAAGATTTTGCCTTCATAACATAAGGGTAGAGACTTACCTAAAAAATTTTTATGATTTCTTTAAATTTAAATATAAGTTTACAATATCGATGTAGAGGATCTCCTCATCTTCAGCACATGTATGATGGAGTTTGAAGGGTTCTGTCCTTCCTCCTCTAAGGCAATCTTCTCTGGGATCCATTGGCCGTACAGAATCAATTTCAAACCATTTTCTTCGTAACTGAGTGTTGTTTCTCAGTTTTTCCTTGATTTCATGTCCCCAGACTACGTGAATTTCATATCCATGCTGATGCTCCAATTCCCATAGGCGTTGTTGAGTTCTTTCAAAAAGCTCTTCTGCTGTACGACCAGCTGCTAAGCGTTGGTCACGTATTGGGAAGCATTTGGGACAGCCTTAAAATTTTATGAAATTAAAAAGTTTATAAAAACTCTATACCGTGATAGTAACATCCCATATATTCAATAGCTAAAGGGCGAAGCGGGGGCGATCTTTGCCATAATCCATCAAGTCTATAACCGCAGTCTTCAACATGAGCTTCTCCAATTGCCCATTGGGCATGTTGAATATGACCTGCAGACTCTGGATGTTGTAGTTCAAAAAAGCGGATGTATCGCTGTGATTCGGCTGAAGCTCTACGTCCTCGCAAATAACCTCCTTCAGGCGAGTGAACAATCCAATTTTCAGGTAAAAAACAGCGGCGCATTGTTGCTAACGCGAGTCCTGCTGCTGTTGATACCGTCAAAAAAGGGTCAAGATTCTTTGTGTTTTCTCCAATAAGTTGTCTAAATCGGAGCACGCTCTCACGCAGAATCGCCACATCGTTTACACAATAAATAATTAGTTGTTCACGAAGCTGGAAGTTTGTTGTTGTTTGGACGGATGTTTGTTGTGTATACCATTCAATGAGCTTTTCCCTCTTTTCAGCCTTCTTATATTCAGGTTGGTAATATTGAATTGCAGGGAGCCCTCTTAGCCTATAATGAAGGTGTTGTCGTTGAATAAAGAGATAGGGAAAGAAGGGCTTTGCAGTAGCCAAATCCTCTGGCAAAGCAAAAACCTTTGTAAGTGCATCAAGCTCGCAGAAAAAGTAGTTTAACGAGTCCTTGAAAAGCACTTTTCTTTGGTTGTTCCCTCCAAGACTCATTGAATAAATTTTGAGTCCTGTTGTGCATATTCTTGTTGGCGGGTGGCTTCGCCTATGTAGAGCTTCTAATAATAGATGAAAATCATATTTTCCTCCATTATGAGCTATGCAGATAGTAAGCATATGTTGTGAACCGTGATTAAGTAGGTAGTCTAAGAATTGGTCCACAGGATTATCTTCAGCGTTGTCAAAAGAATGGAAAAACATACGCCGATGATTGAATGTGATGTTATCTGGAAAGGCGGTGTTGTCGCCTGGAGCATTTCTGAAGGGTGGGGAACACCAATTACGCCATCGTGCTCCTCTTGGAGTCCCACAAAAACACCCTTGAGCACGTTGACCAACATCTTCAATACGAATATTAGCCCGTATACAGGCTTCACAAATAACCTATAAACAAAAATTATATTTAAATTTAATTAAAAAATTAACCTCAGCAATAATCAGAAGAGGTACATGCCTGTAGCCATTGATATTTTGGCTTATTTGTACAGGTTCATCCTGACTTGTTTCAGCATCAAAAAAACAAAGACGAATTGGTTGTCGATGATTTCTTGTTCTTTGTTGCTGTTGTTGTTCATTATTATTATTTTCATTATTATCTTCTTGTTCAACGTCATCAGGTTTTAATGGCTGAATAAAACATGGCTGGTCCTCTGTGTGAGGGCCATTGCACATTTTACAATTTATTTGAGGTTGTTGCCTTTGTTGTTGGCATTCGTGATTTTGTTGAGCTTGAATTATATGATGACAATTATTACATATGCGGCGCATTTGGCAAATAGACGCAAAAGTGCGCGAATCGCGTCGAACCATTTCATCTGGCGCAGTGTTGATGAGATGATAGTCATAACAGGCACGACGAGGAAAAATGAATCCGCAGTTTTGACATGGAATTCTTTCCTCCTCCTACCAAATATTGAATAGAAATTGTAAAAAAAATAAAAAATTATACCTGACATGGAAAGTCTGGACCTGTGCGCATACAAAACCGGCACACAACACTACAACCGGCCCAATGTGACCATCTCGTTACAGAACGTTCGCAGTCAATACAATAACGCTTGACACCCAAAAGTTGTTCAGGGCGACCAATGTAGTTATAGTGACGATTTTCCAAGAGCAGGCATAAATTGTAACGAGCTGCTCTTCCCTCTCCTTTAAACACAATCCGATACTGTTGCTCCTTTTGGAAAACAACAATACGGGTGTGCCCTTCTCCATAATATTGATTCAACCATCGTTGGAGAATCGCTACATGTTCAAGCGAATATTCCTATAATATGCAAATCTGAAAAAATGTAAGTAAATAATACCTGTAGTCCATTTGGAAGTCCGGCTATATTCATTAAATAGTTTACAAAAAGCAAATGTTGTTCTTGTTGTTGACAAAAAGCTCTAAAATGAGCTGATCCATTATTAGCATCGCCTTGATCAACAAGCCGAATTTTCGTGAGTCCAATAACTACTGCTCGAGCAAGGCAGTAGCGGTCGTTTGGATTGCGAACGCGCACAATTGAACGACATCGGGAAGACACTGCATGATCTTGATCCAGATCGCAACTACCTGTAGGAACATGACTGCCTTACATTTATTTGAGAAATGTAAGACTAGTATGAACCTACCCGAATATGCTGCTGGATTATTAGTGCGTTGGCCAGTCAAAGGCCAAACAGCTACTACTTTTGTTGTTGTTGTCCCTGAGAGAAGGTCTATCCCAGCTTGGGATATTTCGTTCAATCTCTCAATCGCTGCGGCTAATGCTGCTGCATTATTTTGCTGTACCGGTCTGAGTGGCACGGTAAACGGGTGGTGGAAATTTGGTGGCTGCACCTGAAGACCAACGCGGAGAGGCGCTGGTCTTCCGGTGAGCACCCGATCCAAAAGTTGTTCAATAAGTGTTGTTAGAGCCAAGTCAGGTCGGGGATGATCGGCCAAATTATTAAATCTGATGTGGGCGATCTCACCACGAGTATTTCGTGATTGAGATGCAAATGGCTCTATTCTTTCAATAACAAAGTAGTTTCTCATGTTTTCAATCTAAATATGAATAAATATAGTCTACTATAATTAACAAATTTAATTTTAGTAAGCCGCCTACAACTATTAGCAGTAAACGAGATCTTAAGTAGGAACCGAAAATTAATATCCTTTATAAAACAGTCAATGATATTCTATAATATTAGTATAGATATTACACCATATAAACACTAAAACAAGATTGGAATTTGAAAGATGCAGACGAGAACAACAACCATACATAATAAACTACAAACCTAATAAATTCAACTTAAAAATTTAATAAAGGAATAATAAAAAAAAATTTATTCATAATAAATTGAAAATTATATAATTATTGAAAATATTATAAAACATATCTCTAATTTTAAAAAAAATACCTAAAAAAAATAATTAGAGATATGTTGGTTTTAAATATACTCAAAAAAAAAATTTTACAAAAGGCAAAATAGCATATAAGTTTAATAAAGGCATAATTAATAAAGAAAATAAATTTGTTTGGCAAGGAAATTATTTTTTTTCAAGTACTATTTATTTTGAGTCTCAGTGTAATTTATGATTTCTTCAGAATAATAAAGAATATTTCAGAAAATTATAAAGAAACAGAAGCAATCAAACAATAGGACAAACAAAAATTAAACTGAGTGCCAGACTCAAAATATATAGCACTTGCCAAACAAAATTATTTCATTGTCAAACAAATTTATTGCCATTAATAAATAATTTTAGTAAAGATTATTTTAAAAAATAATTTAAAAAAGGCAGGGAAAAAATTGCTTAACAAAATAGATTTTAAAATTAGAATGATAGTATTTAGATTTATGTACACATAATATCAATACCAAAGTTTAAGTGGTAATTAAAAATTAAATTTTAAATTAGAAAATGACTTAATTCTATTTTTTATTAATATTATATTCAACTCAATTTTTATAAAGTTTTACAAATTTAGTCATTTTTTGCAAAAAAATACTCATTGATTTTTTACGAATTGTGGTGCTGCTATTATTATTAATTATATAAAAAATACTCATTATATTTTTTTAATTGGGGTGTGGTTATTATTATTAATTATATAAAGAATACAAAAAATTGCCCCGCACGTCAAAGAACCCACTCAGAAAAAAACTTGACGTCTTTGACGTGTGGGGACACTGTTACACGTCGGGGTACTTGTGTACTTAGTACGTGTCCAAAATATCAAATTTTCAAAAAAAAATTTTTTTTGTACACGTGCTAGACAAGTAATCCGACGTGTATAGCCTCCAAATTCCAGAGTAGGGCACAAAAGATTTTTAGTCAATTAAATTGCAAAATGAGAACTTTCTAATTTTTAATGTTCTACTCTCATTTTATAATTTAATTGACTAAAAATCAGTTTTACCCTACTCTGGAATTTGTAGGCCCCGACCCATATCGTATTTACAAGTAGGACAATGTCTATAAAAACGGGATAAATCCCAAAAACACGTTTTGTGCAATTTATGGGAACATGGTAAAAAAATTACGCTTTGTTTCGGCATAAAGTCACGTACACATACTCCGCAAAGAGGATCCTCTTCTTTAGATTTATATGTTGCTGCCAGTTGCACACGGGAGGCTAATAATATATTTCGCTCTTTACCATTGAGTCCTTTTTTTGGTAAATCAATATCATGAATGCTGCGTTCTCCGCGAAAATAAATTGCATCAGGATCGTCTGGTGGTACTACATAACTTACAATTCCTGGAGCTGGGGGAGTATGTCCAGGATTACCATATAATCTCTATTATATTTTTTGTTAAAAAATAATAAAAAAAAAGAATAAAATTTACTTGTGGATTTGATTCGGCATGAAGCGACTCCTGTGCCAATTCAGAAGAAGGTGACACTACTTCCTACAAAAAAAGGCCCCCTAGCTTTTTTTTTTAAAAAAAAAGCTAGTGAGTATTTATTTTAGAGAGTAGGTAAGACTATCTAACGCTTGTTTTTCACGTATCCCTGTCAGAATAATTAAAAAAGTAAATACTAATGATTAATTAAAATCCCCCTAAAATTTTGAATATCATGTACCGTTTGATTTCTTTTGATTAAATTCGAATTTTTATTCTAATTTAGTGATATCATTTGAAAAAATTTCATTAAAAAATTATTGTGAAAACAATAATATCATTGTATTTATAATAATTCGTTATCATTAAGCTTATTCAATTTTAAACAAAAACAAAATTTAAACAAGATACTAGAATATTTGTTCATATAAATGTAAATTCAATTTTTAAATTCAATTTCATGCCAATTCAAAATTCAGTTTTATTTTATCTAAATACCAATAAAACTTATAAAAAAATTTTAAGCTTTTTTTTTTAAATTTCTATTCCATCTTAAATGATAACAATTTCAAATTATTTTTTCAAAATTTTTAAAAAATTTTTCTAATCAATGTTTAAAATTTTTTTAGATTTTTTTCCTTTTTCAAATTTCTATTTCATTTTAAATAATACACATTCAGAAATAAAATTTTATTTTTTAAAAAACTAAAAAGAATAATCAAATTCCATTTCATAAAATATAAAATTTTTATTTTAGACAAGAATGAAAATAAATATTTTTATCATGATATATTTAATTCAAAACCAAGTTTTATTTTATCAAAATACTATAAAAATTTTTAAATATTTTAAAGCTTTTTTTTCAAATTTTGATTCATTTTTAATAATAAACAGTTTCATTTTTTTAGATTTTTTTCAAATCCTTTTTTCAATTTCATTTTAAATAATAAACAATCTCAAATTTTTTCACAATTAAAAAATTTTTTTTCAAATGATTAACAAAATTTTTTAAATTTTTTTTCCAATCTCTATTTCATTTAGTTAATAGACAAATTCAAACAAATTTTTTTCCAAGCAAGTTACAAATTTTTTTCAAATCATTTTTAAAAACTTTTATTTAAAAAATTTTTTTTCAGTTTAAAAATTTTTTAAAAAAATTTTTTTTCAGTTTTCAGGTTTCAAATTTTTTAAAGATTTTTTTCACATCTATATTTCATTTTAATTACTAAACAAAATCAAATTTTTACAAAAATTAAAAAAAAATTTTCAAACAATTTATAAATTTTTTTCGAATCTGTATTTCATATTACTTAATAAATTATTTCAAAAAAAAATTTTCTCAAAACAATTTTTTTAATTTTTAAAAATTTTTTTCAAATTTCTATTTCAGTTCAAATAATAGACAAACGTACAATTTTTATTTTTGCAAACATAAAAGCAAATTAATCGAAAGTTAAAGATTAATGAAAAAATTTTAATAAGTTTCATTCAATTTAATTTTAATTTCTAAATAAATTCAATTTTAACTTGTTCTTTTCTTCTTTTTAGTAAATAAGCAAATCATAAATCTTCAAAATCCTTGAAAATTGTAATAAAAGTTTTTTTATTAAATTTTAAATTAATAACAATTCAATTTTAATGTTGTATTTTTTAAATAAAGTTCTAATTCAAACGGTACATGTAAAACGTTAAACCATAGGATTTATAAATACTCACATATTCGACATCTCTGTCAATAGCAGCAGTTGTATTGCTGGCATAAGAAGAGTTCTGCACATTACCAACATGAGGATTTTGATTTGCTGCAGATGTTGAAGGACCTTCCTCTAAATAATATTTTTTTAAAAAAATTTAAATACAATTTTTTAAAATAAAAATTTAAATAAAATTTTCGCTTATTCACTCAGATTTTTTTTTCGAAAAACACAATTAAAATTTTTAACTACCTATCATATTTGTAGTCTGCTGAGACGCCGCAATTTGCCCTTGTTCTACAATTGTTAAAGTTGAGCTTTTTGAAAATTTTAATTTGAAATCTATCGATCCTGCCCAGTTTACTCTTTCATTGTCCTCAGGTACAACGATCAAGTTTTTTAACACCACTATCTATAATTAACAAACATTTAAAATTTATAAGAAAATTAATTAAATTACATCATTAATATTTGCTGTCTCCAATTTCGATGCCTGCTCGTTCCAGCCGAAAATTGAAATGCGCTCTTTCTCGTGAGTCTGTCCGACCTCCACTACAAGATCTCCCCTGTCGTATTTATTTTTTGTTGTTAACGCACGCTTCACAAATACCACTAAGCCTTTTAACTCTCTTAAATTTATTTTTTTTTTAAGATTTACCCCCCCCCCCCTTCCCCCAAAAAACTCACTCAAATATATCATTCTTTTTCCATGCTAGCATTAATACGTCAGTACTCGTCAAATTTGTAATTGGATCAATTAGTGTTAATAGATGTAGATTTGCTGGTCTGGTAGTTTCACGCAATCGTCGTTTTTCGGCTATCTGATTAATTTATTAATAAATTAATTTTTAAATAAAATTTTATTTTAAAATCTACCTCATCTGCTAACGCCTGTTTTGCTTGTAATGCCTCCGTTTCTTGTGGACTTAATTGTTGTTGTTGTTGAGGAACATTAGCATTAGTTACTTTTGGTATTGTATAGCCCCGAAAATTGGGACTTTGTATTTGTTGTTGTTGTTGTTGCTGCGGAATATTTTGATGCAACTGATTAGTAATTGGACGGACTTGAGTTATTGGTGATTTCTTCCTTTTTCGGGAAGCAGAAGAAGAATTTGAAGACATTTTTTTCTAAATTTAAAAATTGAATATAGGTAATTTAACACTAAATTAATATAAAACTTAACTAAAAGTTGTTTTATTTAATTAAATTTTTTAGCTAAATTAATTTTTAAAATGAAACTAGTGAATAATGAGTTGGGGACTGCAGCAAATACGCCTATTTTTTTATACGAACAAAAGATCGCTTACATTGATATCTTTTGTATAGCTTAACCTATGCTTAATGAAATGACGAGTGGTAGTGAAAACAATGCTGTAAAGGAATTTAAATTAACTAAGTGAAGATTTTTTGCTCGGTTTTAGGAATTTATTTATAGTTATCAAATAAACGATCTTTTATTGTTCAACAAAAAGAAAAATTTAGAAAATTAATTTAAAAAAAAATTTTTTTAACTTAAGAGTCTTACTGTTTTTTTTTTTACTTTGGCAAAAAAGTTTTAATTAATTTTTGCCGATGTGAATGTTTAAAAAATTTTAAAACTTGTAAGAAAATTTACAAAAAATTAAATTTGATAATTTTAATTGTTCTACCTTTCCTCTATCAAAAGGCATCATCAATCTCGGTTTATGTTCAATCTTCTTTACATCTTAAAATGAAATTTTTATTGTACAATGATTTTTTTAAATAAATTGTTTTTTACCAGTAATTTTGCATAGAATTAGCAAAACAGCTTGAATAACAAAATCATATTCTTCCATATTGAATTTAATTTTTATTGGTTCAGATCTTGCCTAAAAATATGATAAAATAGAATTTTGTTAAAAAATATATTTGGATTTCTATTTTCATCATCCTTAGGAAGAAAAAATTATCATCAAGCGAGTTTATATAATTGAATTTTAAATTATGGAGACTGAACCAGATTAGAGAAAAATTTGTATTTTAAAGTGAGATTGGTTAACTTAAAGTTAAGACCAAATTACAAAAATAAACTTACCATCCATTGATTGTTGTATGTTCGAGAATTGTGACTAAAATAATTAAAGTATTCGCATAAAATTTATTTTTATAGCAAAAAGCAAAAATTTAAGTAAAAAAAAATTACAATCCAAAAATAGTTATCCAATCCTTTGATGTACTTGCCAATAAATCAGCAATAAATGACCTAACCCAGCAATGAAGTTGACCTTTTGGTTTTACATTAGAATAAATAGATTCATTTCCGAGAGTTATTGTTATCTCCATTGAAAGCTAATTTAAATATTATTTTATATCAGATGATTTAATATAAACGAACCAATCCAGCACTAGTTATTGTAAAATCATCCTGTAATGCAAGAGCAGCTGCATAACCAGAGAAAGCACGAGTATGTCCGGGAACATTATTTGGATATTAAATAAAAATTTTAATTAAAAAAATAAAATAAATTAAACCATAGGCAAATTTGTAAAGTTTCAATATTCTGTTCATTGTATTTAGACCAGCCATTGTTACATGGGCCATTTGTCTTAAAATATATTTTAAAGTTGTATGTCAAAAATTAAAAATATATTTTAATAATATTTAGAATGAGAAAGAACAGAAGTAAATTTAAATAATTCAGAACTGAAATTTAAATAGCACAGCTTAGATCATAGTATAGGTATTTCAGAATATCCGTGACTGGGCCGAAAGAAAAGAAAAAATACACATAGGATTAGAGTTCCCGGTTGTTGTAGAAAGCGGGATATAATCGCAATGAAAATCAAATGTTTTTAAATAAAAATCAGATTAATTACAACTAAATTATCTACTGATATTCCAATTAAACTTAGAATTATTAAAAAATAATTTTAGCTAGATAATTCATAAAATTCCCTGACATGTCTTTATTTCCTTCAAGTACTATAAATCCAGAGCAGTGATTATTTGAAGAATAACTAGTTTTAGGTTTTTTAAAAACTCTATCCAAATCATAAAAATCCCCAGCCATTTGTATTTTTAAAATTGGAGTAATTGCAAATCTAACTCTTGAAAAATAAAATTGTTTTTCTGGGCCATAACCTATAAAATAATTTTTAAAATAAAAAATTTAAACTACCCAACCATCTTGAATTCCAGTAAGTTGGGTATGTGTCTAAAAATTCCAAGAAAAAAATAAAATTAAAATTTAATAATTACTAAATTAACATGCCGCCAATATAAATCTGTTGGAGGGTTTGACATTACCTTAAAAAAATTTTTTAAATTTTTCTTAAAAAAATTTTTTTAATTTTTTTAAAACCTAACGTCAAATACATTGGATTTTTTTAGAGCAAGTTTGGCTTTATTTCTCTTTATTTTTTTATCGATTTGTTCGCGCCCCCTCTAACACTATTTCCTTAAAATCTTTTCACAGCAAAAATGCTAAAAATCTCTACTCGGCTAAAAATAGTGGTCAGGGACGTTTCAGCTTAATTATTACAGAGTGGACGTTTTAGAGTGCCGTTTCAGAGTAGCTGTTTCAGCATAGCCGGTTCAAAGTAGCCTTTCATAGTAGTCGTTTCAGAGTAGTCGTTTCAGTGTAGCGGTTTCAGGGCGGCCATTTCAGAGTAGCCGTTTCAGAGCGGCCGTTTCAGAGTAGCCGTTTCAGTGTGGCTGAGAGCCAAAAGTTTTTAAAAATAAATTATCGATTGATTACCCGCCGGCCCGACTCGACACGGCCCCCGCTTCAGGCTACAGCCACCCCCGTGTCAAGAATTTCCCCAGGCCACATTTGATACCTTTTGGATTCTGATGCAATACTTTTGATCACCCAGCATCGACTTCGGAATCGCCTTCAGAATCGCCACAGAATCCTTTCAGAATCGCTTCAGTTTCCCTTCAGAATCGCCCTCAGAATCGCTTCAGAACCACTTCAGAATCGCCCTCAGAATCGCTTCAGAATCGCTTCAGAATCGCCCTCAGAATCGCTTCAGAATCGCCCTCACTTTACTTATCCCCCGCACTACTCCATTCAACCCCCACAACCTCCTATAGGAGTGGGTTAACAAAGTATTGATCGATTAGAACAAGAGAGCCTGAAGAGACCGGTTATATGGGAACAGAGTAAATTTTTTCTCTGACTTCTCTAACCCAATAATCGGTCTCTTCAGAGCCCTCTTGTTCTAATCGATCAATACTTTAATAATGGTAATATAGTAGTCGCATTTTTCGCGTTTCGCATCTTTCGAATTTTTTAGCATGAAAAGTTTCGCATTTCGCATTTCGCTTTTTGATTTTAGATTTCGCCCAGCCCTGATATGTATGTATATTCATTTCGATTGGATTAAGCTTAGAAAAGTTATAGATAGTGACCGGATCCGGCCGGTTTTTCCGGAGTCCGGATCCCAAATCCGTGTTTTTTGGTAATTTCCGGATTAAAACCGGACCGGATTAATCCTGAGAAGCTCGGCCGGATCCGGTCCGGCTCTAGTTGCAAATCCGGGACCGGGAAAATCTATTTTACCGGTCACTAGTTATAGCCGATCAACTTGCGGGAAAAGGAAATTTGGGGCGCAGTTAACACAAGGGTCCTCATACTTTATTTACCTAATTCGTCTTGAATATTTGTCGATAAAATAAAATTTTCAGAATTTTCTTTTTTAAATTTTTTTAAGAAATCCTTGAAACTAAAAATATCTCCTTGTTTAACCAATTTTTCATTTAATTCAAAACATCTATCTGCAAATTCCTCCCCCATAAAATGTGACATTTCTTCTTTTTCTATTTTAAAATCTTTTTCAATTTTTTTGGAAATAATATTTTTAGAAATTCCCCTCTCAACATTCCATTCCTTTCCAATTTTTTTGGCATAAATTTTTGTTTCGAGATTTTTTGAAATTAAAAGATAATCGTTTACACAAGTAATTTGTTCAGTAAAAGATTCTGCTTTGCAGAAAAATAATAAAATTTTCAGAAGAAAAATTAAAAGTAATTTAATATTTAAATACATTTTTTGTCTTTAAATTTAATTTTTTAATGTTAAAGCATATAGCTATTTAATTCCTGAGGCTGTGCAGTAGGCGGCATGGTGTAATGGCTAACACATCAGTCCGGTCTACTGAAGACGCTGGTTCGCAACCAGCCGCCGATTAACCTTTTGCACTAGCTAAAGGAGAGAAATACATAGCTATAGCACCAGCTGCTTTACTAAGCAACCTGGCTATAGTTACTGTATTTTCTCGATTAATTCCCCCTCTCGATTAATTCCCCATGCTATAGTTGGGTTGAAACAATAATTCCCTACCCCAAATACCCTACTGCACGTTCAAATGCCAAAACTCGAATAATTCCCCTCCCTCGATTAATTCCCCATGCCATGGAAGGGTTGAAAAAATAATTCCCCAGGGGTCGAGAAAATACGGTAGTAGTCATAGGTACGCCGGTGTCGTGGCTGTCACTAACCTAATCCTTTTGATCTCACTGTCGTGGGGGTGGCGGGGTCTGGTAAAACCAAAAGGAAGAGGGCATGTCGGGAATAGTGCGGCAAAAAACCTAAAGGGAGAGAGGATATCGGCAGCGTCGTGGGGAGTTGAGGTCACATAAACCTAAAGGGAGTGGACATTTTGGCAGCGTCGTGGGGGAGGAGGGGAAAAGAAAAGAGAATGCCAATGTTTGGGGGGTGGTCAGACAAAAGGAGAGAGTATGTTGACCTATTAGAGGGGAAAATCTAAAGGATGAGAAACCTTTTGAAAGTGGATGTGAGGGAGGATAATTGTATAAATCACTGTCGCGGGTGGCAATAAGAAAGTCAAATCCTTTTGACCTAAGATCAAAACCTTTTGAGCGGGTGGTTAAAGCTGACCTTTTACGTCGTCGTCGTGGCCGACTTTTTGACTTTTATGACAAATCCTTTTCATTTGTTTTGACTTGAAGTCAAATCACTTTGACAGGTCGGTGATAACCAGCTTTTCCTCTCCATATCCTACCCCTCTCATCCCTCCTCTCTGATACTACTCCTCCTCTCCTTATTCTTTCTCCTCCCCATTTTATCTTCTCCGATATTTTCTTCTTCTTCCTCCTCCTCCTCCTCCCTCATACTCCTCATATCTTATCTGATCTCGACTTCTCCTTTCCTCCTCTATCCTACTCCTCTCATCTTCTCCTCTCTGATACTACTCCTCCTCTCCTCATTCTCCTTCTTTCTCCTCCCAATTTTATCTTCTCTATTTTTTCCTCCTCCTCCTCCCTCCTACACCTCCCATCTTCTCTGATCTCATCTTCTCCTCTCAGTTCTTCCTCCATGATACTATTTCCTTCCTCCTCTCCATATCCTACTCCTCTCCTCGTTCTTTTTCTCCTACTCCTTTAATCTCCATTTTCTTCCTACTCACTCATCTCCTCTCGTATCATCTTCTCTTCTCCTTTTATCCTCTCCTCTCCTTTCCTTTGCGGGTGAACAATCACCATCATGGAGTAGAGGAGTCTGACAAAATCAAAAGGATGAGGACATATCGGTAGAGTTGTGGTGTTGAAGGGTAATTTGTACACAGTGGAGAAAAAGTATTTTCTAAATTTGAAGTGTCATTTATCTTGTTACAATCTTATAGAACCATTCAACAAGTGATCTATTACCTCATCGAATAATCAAATTGTTCTTTGTAATTAGCCAAACAGTGTTCGTGTTTATTATTTGCAATAATTTTTATCGTTTTTATAAAAAAACATGTGCAATATTAATGTTTTAAAGTGGTAGATTTTAGGGAGAAAAGTGCATATTTAAGTGTTAGAAGATACAATGTGCATAATTAACCTTTAGAAGTTGATGATTTTATGGAGAAAAGTGCATATTAAGCATCACAAGTTGTAAAAAGCATAGTTTGGAGTTTGAAGTAGTTAATTTTTGGGGTAAAAGTGCATATTTAAACAAAAGAAAGTGCAAATTTTAATTTTTTTAAAATCCACGTATTTTTTATTAAAATATGCGTGCGCGTACATTTTAGGTATGCGCGTGTGTTTTGTGCATGTGTGTGTTTTTAAGGCGTGTCAGTTTTGATTAATGTTGTAATCCAGTGAAAACTCTGAGAATAAAAAGTTGGAGATTTTTTCTAACATATTTATTTACTTTTTTTTTAAATTTTTATTGATTATTTTGCTTTATTTAATAATGTCTAATCTTCCTACAAGAGTCGTGCGATCGTTTTCTATTGATAATCTCCTTTCTAGAGATCAAACAGGAGAATGAGCTCCAGAAGAATATGTTGAAAAACTTGAGGATAATATTCAATACATTGAAAAATTTAAGATTGTGAAAAGCTATTCAAAATATTTGATAAAGAATATTCCAGCCGACCCGGAAACTCTTCTTGGTGGTATTTTTCAACATTGTTTCGATAATGCAATATCAAATGCGCGGGCTAAAGGAGTTAAACCAGAAATGCTGGGATGTACTCTAACTAGTGAGTTGCTCCATACGGATATCTGGATACCACTTCGACCTATAACTGAAAATACATTTAATACTATGTTAAACCAGTTCTATAAAGTATCACAGAGTAAAAAAAGTTCAGGAGTAACTCTTTGGGGGAGACCCTTTTCACTTAATGTTATGATTGTAGATAAGAAGAATTTGCGTTAGGAAAACCTTATTGAAAAAACTCTTCAAAAATTGTCTCCTCCCTCACATTTTTTTCTCAAATTTATTATTACAATTTTTATTGTTTTAAGTTTCACTTGAAATAAATTTTTTATAAAAAGCTGTCATTTTTTTATGTCAAAACTAGAAGATTTTAGGGGGAAAAGTGCACTTTTAGGAGCTTGAGAAAACTAATTAGAATAGTTTTGAGTTTTAAATAGAAGATTTTAGGGAGAAAAGTGCATAATTTAGAAAAAATTAATTAAGAAAAGCAAAGTTTACAGAATGAAATGATTGATATTAGGGGTAAAAGAGCATATATTGATGAAGAATATGCAATTTTTATTTTTTATTCTTATTTATGAATCTTAAGTATGCGTGCGTGTCTTTGGCATGCACACGTATTCTTAGGAGTCGCTTGTGTTTTTGATACAAATTTTAAAGTTTTTAAAAATTTTTATTCAAAAATAAATTGATTACAGATTATTACCAAAGTTCAAAATTATTGTCTTGATCTTTCTTCAAAATAGTCACTGGACTCTTTGGTTCTTCAGATATTTTTAGTTTGTTTGATAAATCATTGGAAAGCTGATTCATCCATTTGCCTGCTATTCGATCCTCTTGTTCTGGAACAAACTCGAGCAACTCCATTGGGTAATATCGGTCCTCTCCTCCAAATGGGAATCGCTCTACGACACATTGCAAGTAGGGGTAACGTAAACGAATCCGGTGTCGAGCATAGTAGTGAGCAGCAACGCTCACATTGTATGGAAAAGGTAATCTCCCATAAGCGACGAGAGAATTCCCTCCATGTCGAGTTAGGCCATCAATAAGAAAAGTTTTCTTAAAGCCATTTTGATCTTCATAGGTCGTTTGGACTTTTCGACCGAGTATTTCCTTAAAGATAAGCACACGGTTATCAGGATGGTTGAGGTGGTCTCTTAAGGATTTTGCAGAGCACCCCAAAATTCTAGTGCACTCATCAAGAACTTTATTGGATGAGGAATGAGAATTCATTTTTTTGAAAGAATTTTTTCCAAGAATTTCTTTTCTTATATACTCCCGTTTTTTGATATTTTGAAAGTTTACATTTTGATATTTAGGTCAAATTTGTGCAAGGAATTGAATTTTTGATTTCCGCTCATTTTACTAAATCATTTTAAAAATTTCTCAAAGAAAATGAGCTCCTCGCCAGAAGAAGAATTTATTAAGTTTATGCACGGATCGTGCGAATATAGGCAATTTAATAAGAGGAAATATATGAACGCTTTGAGCGAGGCTATCAAAGATGGCGTTCAACTTGATTTAGGAGCGAGATTAAGCATCCTTATAAACTACTTCAGAGCCGGAAAGTGGTGTCATGATTGCTTAAAGTTTGTTTTGAGTCGTATGCAGTGTGAAATCATTTTACCCAAATATGAACATAATTTCAAGTACGAATTATATCTTTGTCCTGATTGTTTTAAAATTACAAAAAATTATCTAGAAATTCATAATAATTAATTATTTATCTTATTGTTTACAATTTTAGTTACAAATAAATCTGTATTACTAATTGACTCTAATAAATTCAAATATTTGGGTAAGGAGTAGCCTTGGGATAAAAAATATATTAGGGAAATACAGTGGTGAGCACAAGTTTTTGATAGGGGTGATTGGTAAGGTTTAAAATTTTTTTTTACATTTTTAATATTTTTTAAAAATGATTTAACAATACAAGAACTTATAGGTAATGCAAGACTATCGAAATAAAATATTCGATCTTTTTCTAAATAAAGTGTAATCCAGTGCGACCCTTCCATATCATGAGAATCTAAATTGACAATAAGAGCTGTAGGCCATTTCAAAATATTAGGAGAAGGTAGCAAGTCACAAGGGAAGCACCCCTCGAAAATTTTGCTCGTCTTTTGATTTGCTCTCAAAATTTGAGTTATCTGGCTGCTGTACATTGTTTTGTAAAATATTTAATTTAACCCAAAGTATTGATCGAAGTTGATAAATTATTAGGCTTATAATAAGTAGTGCATACAAACAAATCATCCCCCAGCAAAATATGTGCCCATAAATATCTCCAGGAGTCTCCTTACATAATTGAATTGGAAGAAGACTACCAAAAGGTTGAGGAGCAGAAATATGAGGAGGAGGAGGAGGTATACTTGTAGCAGTATTGTTCCTCTTTGGGGGATATCCCATTCTACGTAAATATTCTCGGTATTCTGGAAGATTTTGGACATCTACACTTCCATCAGTACTTAGAGTATTTACACAAGGAGTAAAAACTCGAATTAAGAATAAAACTTTGGCAAGTCTTTTAAAAAACATTTTTATTTAAAATGAATAGAAAATGAACAATTTTTGAGGTTTATATAGTGGTATCG